GACTCTTTGGGCAGTAAAATGTAGGTCAAGTGGAGTAAAAAACTTTGACCTTTCCACCTCCAGATGAACGTGTTCATTGTTGTTCCTAAGGAACTGACTGACCCTATGGCCAAGAGAAGAAAACCAGACACAGCACTTACTTTTCTTACTTTTTATATAAAATATACATTTACATACATTTTCTTTAGTGAAGACTTTGAGCATAACTCCTTTATGTGAAATCTAGCCATAAATCCCACAGTGAAAAAAGCAAAGACTTTGCAGATTCCTGTACCACTGACATACATCCAGCTGCTGCTAAGTGTGAATTTATTTTTAAAGGATTTCTAATCTGTGGGCTGTTTTGTTTTGTTTTTTTTGAAAAAAGATATGCACAACTGATTTTAAAAAAAATTAGACACAGAAATAAGAACCATATGAACAACAGGCAATGCAAATAACTCCCACATGAGAGGAACACGCAGCGTGACATCCACTTCAGGCAGAGATTTCTACAGTAATACAGTTGTCAAAGCCATAACTTTTACAGAGGATACCACTCGGGGTATTTTCCAGAAGAAAAAATTTTCAGCAAGTCAGTACAAACATGGCAATGAACTTTTCCACAAAGTTATTGAGATTACCTGAAGCAACTTTGCCACACTGACACGCTAGTGAATGCCAAGCGCTTTTGCTTTTTTTTTCCTTGGGTTTTTTTTTTTTTTTTTTTTAAATTTTTTTTTTTTTGGCTGTTGGGTTTAAATGTATATGAAAGCAAAGTGATGCATTTTGAAACGCTGCAAGAGACTGATGGTTGGGGAAAAGACCCTCTAAGGGCTAATATTTTCCAAGGATTGTGCATAAATGCATATATGAAAGATAAAAATTGAGCACTTGGTCAATTCTATTGCATACAGATTGAGGAGACAAAAGCATATACCAACTGTTTCATCATGCTGGAGGACAAGTGGGGGAAATGATCATGCAATTATATTCTAAATGGCCTAATTATTAAAATTAGAATGATAATTATCTTCCCTTACCAAATATTGTACACGATATTTGGCCCGGTTTTGCTAACTGTTGAGAAACTGTCACAGTTTTGAGATCATTTTAGGGGTGTCCAGCCTCCCCCGCAAGTTAGGCTCTTTATTTTGGATTTTTTTGACTTAGACTTCTTCCACCCCTGTGCCTGCATGCACATGCCACTTGTGGGGTCACTGAGATCTCTGGAATGAAGGCCATTTGCACTGCTGCATCCACTTACTGTTTGGCCAGAACAAGTTGCCTGCACATTTGTAGGGAAATCTAGTGCAAGGAGTCTCTGAGAGAGAGAAAAATGCCCCCTACTGCATCATTTATCCCAGGGGATGGAAAAGGAATGGAAGCAAAGAATGCAGGACTTCAACTAAGCAATAAAATAAAACAAAATCCATCAGCTGAAAATATCATTCACGAGGAAAGGAAAAAGCAACACAATTATTTTGTTTTTCATTTAGGATTAAGATGCACAGTGAGTACATTAGAGTCCTGTCTAACCAGCTTTCTGTTAATTCTCCACTTTAATATTGGTGAGCACTGAGGTTTAGCCAATGCAACTTGCAGAGAGAGCAAACTCTTACCCCACCAGGTAGAGCTTCAGCCATTTATTAATTTGTAATCTCTGCCAGCCGTGCTGAGCACTGGAGTTGGCAGAAAACAACGTATTTAAAACTCATTATTTTAGAAGCAGTGCAATGCTAGTGGAAGAGGACATTTTCTATGATTAATTAAGATAATATTCAGTTTATCACACGGTAAGTCGCTCAATTTATCTTCTACAATAGCATTCCATTTTGGTGGAGGTAACCCATTTAATATCATACCCCATTCTTCTTCTTTGCCTGCAATAAATCTTTCACAAGATTAATGTCTTGAACAAACACAGCGTTTCAGCATGGACACCAACAAGACAGGGAATCAGCTCAAAACTCCACAAGGGTTTGGTAGCATTGTTAGCTCACAGTCTGAATAGTTCTCCAAATACACTGCCAGTTTGCAGACCATCATCCTGCACAGCTGGGGTATAAAGCACTGACTCAGGAAAGTGGGGTTCATTACTAAGCCCTCCTCTCTCCATAACCACCTTAAACCCAGCTCCAAACTGTGGAGAGTTGGCCTTTCAGCATATAAATGTAACCCAGTTCAGCTGAGATTAAACTCTGGGGTTACCTTACCTGCCTAATTCAGCTGAGCAGATGAACAAACATATGCCACATCTTCCAACCAAAGCACCTCCTTCACTGGGAGGATGTTCTCATCTTTCACCACTATTCTGCAAGTAAGACAGTGTTGCAAAAGCAGTAATCCTTCTCCAGGATCTTGGAGGGGGAACCCAAACTTATATTATACTTTTATATGTGCACCTGTTTTAGGAGGTCAAGATGTGTTTTATCAGGTTCTGGAACAAGAATGAAACAATCATTTCTATCAGGTCTCTCAGGAAAAACAAACTAAAATTTAAGCCAAAGTTAAAAACACAAAACCAAGCCTTCCCCCTCACCAAGCATTGATATAAAAAATACAACTTCTTCTATATTTGAAAAAATATGTTTTGTTGGCCACAATTTAAAACCACACTGCCATGGGGCTTGTAGAATATATAGTATTTATTTAATATATCTTTATGAGGCAAAGTTTATAGCTGATACATGTTTTTAAACAAGACTTATCTCCCCCACCCCTATCCCCCACGCTCCAGCGAGCTGTTGAAGCACTCTGCAGATGTCTCCTCTCTGTGGTGGCTTTGCATGGCATTGGTGTCAGGGGCTGCACCACACATCACTCTGCCAGCCCCTAAGCTCAGCACCACACTGTGGTACCACAGGCAGCCAGCCACCCTGGGCAAACAGGGCTTTGGTGAAGCTGCCCCCAAGTCAGGCTCACCTTGGGGAGAGGCAGAGAGCTTTATGGTCCAGGTACCTCTGAGCACCCTGGTAATGAACCATCTACTGCTTTGCAATGCTCAGAGGCTATTTAACCTTTGGTTTCCCCACCCCACAGGACTCCGCTGGCTCAAACCCATCTCCTCCTGGCAGCACCAGGGCTGCACAAAGCTACTCCATGCATGGCACCCAGCAGAGTGCCTGCACTGGGGACCTGCAGAAACATCATGTCAGCAAGTCCATGGCCATCAAACTGGTATGAAAAGACAAGGGTTGTTGACCCTGCCCTAGGACCTCAAACCTGCCCTCAGCCCTGGAAAGTAAAGTAGTCTACTTGGGCTTCGAGGAGAAGGGAAAATTCACCAGCAAAAGAGTTATTTTGCTCCCAGCTGCTCCCTTTGGAAGCTGGTTCAAAGGGAGAGAGCTCAGAAACATGTGTCACCACCTTCACTCCCTGATGGTCTCTCCCTCTCATCTCTGCCCAGCTGTAAGCACTGGCCAGTCTCCTTGGCTAGTGGGGACCAGTACCTTCCAAGTCCAGTCTCGTCTCGTTGGGCGCACAGCCATGGCTCTAGCAGGTCCACAGACCCTGGCAGGGCAGACATATGCACCAGCCTGGACTTCCTCCGAGCTCCAAATGCAGTTGGAGTCAGCTAAACACTGAGCTTTTAAATGAAACCAGCGGAGCCACCAGCACATGCTGAGCAAATTTGGAGCTTGCTGAGGTGTCACAGACAGCACCCACTAAGCCCAGGTGCCATGTGGGTCACTGCCACACAATCTTTTTCTGACAGATTTGTATCAAGGCATCACATACCTAAAATGAACTGTCCTTTACTAATAATGCCAAACCCTGTGCTGCTCTTCTGCAGGAACTGTCCATAATCAAGGTCAAATATAACAAATTTTACAGCAGTTTTCTGCTGCAAGAGGAACAAACTGATGGCCTACTCTGATGTCCAAACCCAAAGGCAGTGGCACCAAGAATGATCTCCCCAACACTCTCTGTGACCTGGTATGAACCCTGGGATATGCAGCAGAAGTGCTGTTACTGCAGTGGCAGTATGATCTGAGGTACTCTGCAGCCATTTGCTTTGGAAACATCATGAGGGGGAGTTACTCGAGCACGCCTCACTGCTACTGCATTTTTCTAACTTCAAAGAAGACAAGTCACGATGCCCAGCCATCTGGCCAGCTGTGAAGGACACTGCCCAATTCATACAAAACAGACAAAATATATTAGTTATTTGATTATAAGTTAAATAAATAAAGCCCAAAAATAAAAGCCCCAATTCTGATGAGAATTTGTTTTCCTACTTCAGTATTTAAAAATACAGATTTATGACTGATCAGCTACAGGTAATCTTCTGCATCCTTTGTGGGAGGGTATGAGAACACTTTGACAAAGTGTTCTGTCAATGTTATCACCATGATAAATGGGCTTCATCCCTGCATACCCGTAAGAAAGCCCTCTTAGTACCTTTCCAGGCTAGGAAATCTTCCCTGATCTCTCTGTGGCTTTATTTTACCTCTTTTGCTGATCACATGGGTTATTTGTTTGTTTTTTTTCTTTTCACTAGGTACTGGACAGGAGGACAAGGAAGCCTAGAGCTTTCCATTGCCTTAGGATGCTTCCATTTTTTTCAGAGTAATAATTATTTGGCCTGGAGGAAGAGGAGTAAAAAAGGGTAAAGCCATAAGAAATCTGACAATACTGGCATCATGAACCTGAATTACTACAAAATTATTACCTTATAAGTAAAACATTCAGGTGAGGTTTTCCCTCAAAGGATCATCTGTACTACTTGTAGAATCATCCTTCTAGAGTGATATTCAGATACTATTTTCCCTTTCTTTAGAATAATTTGCAAGTCACATTTAGAGCTGTAAAAGTGGCCACCACTTGCTCAGCATTAACCTTTTTATGTGACCATTATGACCACCCTTCCTGGCTCAGAAGGACCTGGCAGCACTTGCAATGATGCCCATAGGTGGTACTTGACATGAATGAAGTGAGCCTGTGTTGAGTAACAGGAGGTGCTGCAGTGGATGAGTGCTTTGTCTCCATGGCTCCCCTAGTGATAACCCAGATATTGAAGGTACATGTCCCACTCACACTCCTGGTGTCATTAAAATGGGTTCAGCCTAAACATAAATCTTGATTAAAGGAAGTTTTTCGTTCATTCTCCAGCATGTCCCACAAGAACCAAGTGTCTCCTGTAACTTTGGCCAAACATATGCATGCAGTCAAAATCTGCCTTCTGTAATTCTGAGTTCTATCAAAGTTCCTTCAGCAACAGGAGCAACAGGCTTCCACCATACTCTTCTCCAAGGGACAAGGGTTTCTTTCCACTGGTGACTGAATGCTATGTTTGGTCTTTCTCCTGGACTTCCTGAAACCGTTTCTCCAAGCGATCCAGTTTGGCCAGATTCTCCTTCAGCAACTTGCTGTTTGGAACCAGCTGTAAGGCTTTCTTGTAGTAGCCACGGGCAGTGACATAGCTCCCCTACAAAGAAAATGAGTAACAGCTCTCATTTGCATTCCCTGACACAGAAAGTTCATTCCTTGGCAATGGTAAAGACCATAATAAAAAGGAAGAAGAATTTCTAAAACTTGATATTGTTAGGTAAGAGGAATACTTCATTATGAAATGGTTCACCAAGTGTCATCAGCCTAAATTTGATCAAACAACACATGGCAAGAAGTAGACTTAGAGTTTTCCACTATGTTGTTCCAGAAGAGTTAATTTTACTCAGCAATAGGATAGCTTGAGGGTATCACACAATGTGACTCCTTATCATAAGGAGTCATAAGGAGATGCAAATCATAATGATATGCTAAACTATTCAAAAAGATAAGCAACCACAGGGCAGGCTGTCTATTTCCATAATTTCATGCTAGTATTCTGCATCAGACATGTTTATTAAATTAATCAGGAATCTTAAAAAGTCAACTCACAGTGACATTTTTCTAAGGTAGGTCAACAACTAAGCAGGAAATCTTTAGAGGTGGGCATGTTCTTTGCAGCACACCCACTTACAATAGGAGATTTACATTACAGGATACATATTCCCAAGCACCTGGTTGGGAAATTCTAGTTGAGCTGGACAGACTTTTCTCATTTTTGCATAAAAATATGGCAGGGACAGTCACTCACTGTTCACAAACATGCAGACTGTGGCAATTTGAAACAAATTCAGGTTTATATCCTGAGTACTAGACTCTGCACTTAAGACAGCTTAAGGAAAAGCAAACCCATCATACCTTGATGTGCTCAATGCCTCCCATATTCATCCAGGCCTGTGCTTGGTCTGGGTTGAGCTCCACAGCCCGTTTATAGCTCTACATAAATATGAAACATTTTTAGGTTAACAATCTGACTCTTCAAACCAAACCAGTGCTGGAGGGGAAAGAGAAACAAAGTTTCCTCTCCTTCTGAAACCACTTAGAATATAATTTCAACTTCTTCTCATACACAGCGCACAATTTGTACAGCCACTTGCGTAGAGGTTCCACAAGGACCTGAGGGCAGTGCCATCCCTCCCCCCCGCTTCCACTACTGTGCATGGGAGGAGAAGCAGCACAGAGCTTCTAGACTGTCAAACAGCACTTTTTTTTTTTTTTTTTTTCTGGTGCCATCACAGGAAAGGATTCAAATCAGGATTGGACACCCCTATGGGTATTGGAATATTCAGGAGTGTTCCAATAATATTCTGTGGTGGTATTTGACACTAACATAATTTCTGAGTTATCAAGCCTCCCACCCCCAGGATAAGCCAATCTCTCAGCTATTAGGTAATGAGATGAGATGTAGCAACATGGTGGGCTCTCACAGGGCTCCAGGCTTTCAGCTGAGCCACCTGGAATTTGCCATCAACAGCAAGAGGGGCTGGATGGACCAAGGGTCTGGTCAATGAGAAAAGGCTTGGGCTCCTCCATAATCCCACCATAACTCTTTACTTAACTTCTCAGAGCAAAGAGCTGTATTTCCACACAGGAAGGAGGAAAAATGTTGCAAGTTAAGTCTGGCATAGTTAGCCACTCCACAGCTTTAGCTGTACCACTGGTGAACTGCTGAGCTCCAAAGGCCAACAGTCAGGGTGCATGCACCAGGGAGTATTAGATGCAATGAGCTCTTATCTTTTAACCTGTAAAACTACCCATAGGACTTAGAGCAGTCATACCTCAAAAGCCTTGTCAAGGAGGTTTTGTTCTCTTAACTGGTTTCCTTTAGTGAAAAAGAGCTCTGATATGACTTTTGGATCCTTTGGTTTCAGCTGAAGAGCTTTTTCTATAGCTTCTAGTGCCTGTAAAAAACCAAGAGGATATTGTGTTACTGCATTCTGCATCTTTCCACTTCTCATGCTCTCCTCATCACTATGGCCCCCCAGCATAAGAGTCATCTTCTCCTTCCCTTGTTTGCCTCACACTGTTAACACGTGGAAATTAGTTTTTAGATGCCTGTGGCTGATGGGCAGTGGGGCTGACAGCAACAGGAGCAGTAAGTGATAAGAAACCACACTACTTAGCTCCAGTCCCAGTAGACAGATGAACAGAAGTATTTTACTGAATAAAATAATCTACTGCATGTGCACTAAGAAATGTGACATGTCTCTGGAGAGATGGTGTGTGAAATTCAACCTGAACTGTGTGTGAGCCCTCAGGACAAGGGCAGCCCATGACCACAGTACCTTGGCATAGTGCTCCTGCTTGCTGTAGATGGCTGACAGAAGACGGTAGCACTCCAGACACTCCACATCCTCATGGAGTATGTGGTTCATCATCTTTTCAGCTTCCTTCGTCTGACCCATCATTGCTAAAACCTGAGCCTATGGAGCCACATTACAAAAAGTTCACAGCTGTAAAAAGCTCAGTCCTCCTTAACACGTGATGCTGTATCAGGCAGCTGGTTCTCCACTTCCACGGCCCTGCCCGAGCTCAGCCCACACTCACCAGCGCCAGTCGGATCTCCTTGTTCAAAGGCTGCAGTGATGCTGCTTCTCTGTAAACCTGCAACGCTTCCTCATACCTCCCCGTGTTGTAATACAGAGCCCCCAGAGGGGACAGGATTTCAGCCTTCCGGGATACCTTCAGTGCCCTGGAATTTGGGAAAAAGAGATGCTTCCAGATGGTGTGGGGATGAAAGCACAACAGCAAGGTGTGTTGTGTGCTGGGATGGAGCAGTGAAGGTCTGCACCCTGCTCAGCCCACCCTGGGGAGCATAAACATAAGGTCCCAGGGAGGGACGAGCATGCCCATAGCACTAATTTCTCTGGCCACCTGAGAAGGGGAGAGGGCCACCTCCAAAGTGCACATGAGCATGCAGCAGGAATGGGGATGGCTGACAGCGGCAGAGCCTGGGGAGTGTGAGCACAAAGCTGGATGTCAGAAAGGAGGCAAAACTCCCACTCCAGTCCACCCAACTGCATACTGGGAGTCAGTGCCTGCCTACTAGCACATTGCTGGGAAGTGCCAGAGTTCCTGATGGTGCCAAGGTTTTGGTGCTGGGCTGTGCAGCAGTTCTGGCTGTTACTGGTGCAGCACACACAGACCAGCTTCGAGCAGGGCTGGAGTCATGTAACTTTGTTGTTACAGAATCCCCCAGCCAAAACCAGCATCCTGAGGGCTTGGGAATGGTCCAGGGAAGTCAAAACTGCCTAAGCCTCTCCAAGCACTCTCCCAAAATAGTCATTGCAAAGGTAAATCTGGTTTCAAATTAATGGAGGAGGAAGGGAGAAAAACTCAAACATGTACTGACAGATTCATATATCAGAGGCTCATTAGCAGAGACAAGCCGTACAGGGGGAGGAGGGAAACCTCTGTGTCCCATCCCAAATTCTTACCGTTTGTACCACACTTCAGCCTCTTTGTTCTGCCCCAGGGAGCGGTGGAGCCTGCCCAGGTTCACCATGGCCACGTGGTGAGTGGGGCTGAGGTGGATGGCCTGCCTGTAGTGGGACACAGCTCGCTCGGGAGCCCCTGGAGAGGAGAGCAGCTATTAAACTGAGGCATCAGAAAAACCCTGTCACAAATTCAGCACAAAGTAATGTTCTGGGTTTTCCTTCAGTTATTGCTCTATGCCTGGGAACCATTTTGAGAAAGAAATCCTGCCTCAGCCTTTCTAGAGATTAAAAAATTGCTGTCCAAATTTAAGATCTAAGTTCCAGTATCCAGAGATGATCCTGCAAAATAGATTTTTCTAGAGGTGTGTTTTCACAAATAGAGTGTACAGTCACCAGAAGACTGATGACAGAAAGCATTCTCCTATCATGCTGCCAGAAATAGGGGGGATGCACTCCCCTTGCTAAGGACATAGCCCCTCCCACCCCCCCAAAATGGATCTCTTGTGAGAGCATCCGTCCACCCTGTCCCACTGGAGAGATGGGCGATGGAAAGGCAAAGAACAAGCCATGCAGCATTCCCCAGAACCTCACAAGAGCTGTAACCAGTTTCAGGTCATTCCAAACAGAGACTATTTCCCTCCAACTCTGTTGCATCGTCCCTGCTTAGTCTCTGTGCATTGGTCAACAGGACAGAGAGTAGCTGCCAATGCCCAGCTAATTCCCACCTCGGGGCAATACATCCCAGAGCAGAGGTGTCCAGGTGGCTACTCTGGAGCAGGCGGGCACCTCCTCCGTGCTGCAGAGGAGCCATTGGGTGGCACTGCTCCGCTGTGTGAGAGGATCTGCCCACCTAAGGTCCTGCAGCCCACGACATCACCGAGAACCACAACCAAACACGGCTCCCTGCAACAAGGAAGGTCTCAGACCCGCACTAGCCCAAACAGTATCTTCTTCTTTATCTAAATAATGGCTTTCCTCAAGAAGGATCTTGCAGCATTTTCTGCAGGCAGGGCCTGCTACAATTTATCTGCTAAATAAATTAATTTAGCCCAGCATGAAGTTCCAGCATCTCAGCAATGTGGATGTTGTACTTTTAACCCCAGTGCTTGTTTAATTGGTTTGCACACTTTAGACCAGATAATCTCCTGATGAAAAACAATACTCTCAGAGCTTTGTCCACCAATAGAGCTTTTAACCATTGGCATTTTTTAAGCCAAATTACTTCACAATTTCTTTAATTCAGTTTCTAGCTGGAAGGCAGACCTTGAAAACAGTCTGCACGCACTGGGGGACTGAACAAATGCTGCTGTGGGAATTTTAGTTTCATGGCTTTTCAGATCTAGTTTGGCTTTTCCAGTACTACCTATTCAACACAAAAGTAACACTTCTCAATGGATCTCCTTTACAGGAAAGAGGAGGGATGTCTGTAGGGAGATTTAGAAAGCACTTAAGATTCATCCAAGGCCAACGACACACCTTTCAGGGTAGGACTTTTTCAAAATGTCCAGAAGCAGCCTTAATCTTCTCTCACTCATGAGCAGGCAGATGTTTTTGAAAATGATATCTACAAAACACCCGGGGAAGCAGCTGGGCATGCACCTCAGTCCTTAAAGTCTGTCAGTGCTCCCCAGCTCAACCCTCAGGGCTAACGTGCTCTGTTAAGGGAGACACATGGAGTGCCTAGAACCACTGCTGAGCTGTCCAGTTATGGCTTCCCAGAGCTGACGCTTGTTGGAGGCTTCTTCCACAAAATCCTGCAAGTTAATTGGCATGGTTCTTCACAGCATCTCCCCATGCCCTCTGGGAAAGAGCACAGCCTGTGCCAGGCTCACTACCAGACACTTCCTTCAGACCCCGCCATGTCTCCTCATGTGTCATGAGGGTTATTTACACATCATGCCTGAAGTACCAAAACTCAATGTTGTGGTTTTTTTTTTTCACCTGCTGTTTGTATGTAGAGAAATGTAGGACTAAACCAGGGAAAGATAGCTTTGACTTTGGCAGAACACATAAGTGAAAAAAAAAAAGAAAGCACACTGCACTGTGTTTGCACTACAATTTTTTGCAGGAATCGGACAGTTTATCTGGGTTGAGAACCAAAGGTAAATACAGCATCGGAGTGAATTTTTATTATTTGCAAGCTTGAATTTTTCCAGGGCACAAATTTAGAACCTCAACCTCTATTGCTAAAGCCATGATGCCTACTTTGATTATGAGTACTCCTTTTGCCTTTGTATTTATTTCACAACAGCACCACAGAAGAGCAATGGCTGAGCATCAGCTCAGGGGCAGGACAGCCAGCTGCAGGCTGATGAACACCATCATCCTTTCTTCCCAGAGACTGGGGCTGGGCACAGTGTTAAAGGAGCAGAACAGGTAGCAACCACACACTTTAAGTCTACAATATTTCATCACTAAGTCTTGGCTCTGTTCTGGAGGGATCAGAGTGAGTTGGTTTCTACTAGCTGTTTGTCAGACTTGGTCCTGTTTATAAAGCTGTCAATAAAAGACAGCAATTACAGCAGCATTTTTTGTTGTTGTTACATGGATGCCAGGAAGTGCCCAAGTCCAGGGAAGTTAGATAGGAACCAGGAGCTCAGAAAATAAAGGCTTTGAATGTCATTACAGAGCTCCTGAGAAATCATTTCATAGCACAGCATCTTAGGCTTTGTTTTCACACATGATTGTGGTTTAAAAGCCATGTTTGTTTTCATAGCAGTCGTGGCACTCAAAATTTAGAGTCAAAGAGCTGCTTTGTCACCAAGTAGAGCTGCAAGTGCTCCAGAGAACACAACGATCCACTTATGTGCCTTGGATGTGGTTTGATGTGGCCATGCTTCCCTAGAGAAACAGCAGTATTGTCAGGCTGCTGCCCAGCTCAAACTGAAGAGGACCAATGTCTGTGTGAAGATGGTGAGGAACACTGAAGGAAATGGACAGGCTGAATGGCAGTGCCACACAGTGCCTGCATTGATTACAAATTTCAGTACGCTGTGGCACCTCAGCAGCATGGGCATATCTATTTCCAAGCTACACTGGAGGCACATCTATTGCTTTGAAAGCTTTTGAGACCCTTTTAGATGTGTACTGCTGAATAAAACAAATCAAAGCAAATAAGGCAGAGAGGGAAAATCCCTTGCTCCTTCTCACTTACCCGTATCAACCAAGAAAACACCGTAGTTGTTATGCAGATCGGAGCTCTCTGGACAATTCTCTATGCCAGCCTTATAGACCTCCTCTGCTTCCTTAAGCCATTCCTTAAAAGAGAAAGACATTTCTTAGCTGTGGCAGAAAGGGTGTCAGCATCAATTGCCACATACCTGCATTTTGTGACAACTCCTGCACTGCATGGGAAGCGTGGGGTGCCAGCCCACCCCACATTCTAGGAAGCCAAAATTGTAACCCATGGCATGGATGCAATAGAGCTGCTGTCAGGTACCACAGAGCAATTCAGACAGCTTTGCTCCATAGATTTGCAATTGGAGCTCCCTGTGAAACAAAAATAACAGCTGGAAAAGGCAGCCCCTGTGCAACATCAGTGAGCCTCGGCTGGGCACGCACCCAGCCAAGAAACACACAGCAACAGGGGTCGTGCTGGTTGTGTTGAAAAATACCTGTCATCTTGGAGTGGACATATTTTAATGTATCTGTTTAATGAGCATCTCGCTGGCTAATTTCTCCCCTCTGGAGCTCTGCTGCTCCTTCCCTAAACAGCGGGGGAAATACAAGGAATGAAAGCTTGGTGTGTATGACAGCTGGGGGATGGACAGCTTGTGCAGGGGGGTGAGGAAGCTGGAGGGGGATGGCAGGCAATGAAAGAGTGGGGAAAATCTGACAGGTTCAGATCAAAACCAGGGGTTGTCAATGCACAAGATGTAGCTCACTAAGATTGATGGGGTGTGCCACTGTGCTCACTCCTAGATGCACGGAGCATTTTGCATAGATTTCAAGGAGGTTTGTTGGTGCCAAGCATTTTTGGAAAATATAGCTCTGTTCTTTGGGGACACTGCAGTACACTACAGAAAGTGTCCCAATGGCTGGGCTCTGTCTAGCCTGAGCTATGTGCAGCCCAGCTCTGAAATGAAAATAAAGTACGTCATCTGGATCAAACAGCAGCTTCAGATTTCCATTTCCCTCCAGCCAGCCATTGCATACCCGCTGCCTGCCATGCCCATTACCACGGGTTATCACATTCTTCCTCCCCTCCTGAGAGCTTTGCTGTTGTTGGGTGAATTTATGGAAGGAGGCTATGAACAGCAGAGATGAGCAGGGTACAGAGGAGTGTCAGGCAAACCTCCAGCACCAAAGGCACTTTTTTTAATTCTTCCTGGCAGTGACAAACTCCACAGCTTCCTGAAAATGCTCCCAAGTGAAATCAGCCATCCAGGTCCCCACTGAGGAAAGCCTGGAGCCACCAAGGCAAACCTCCTGCTTGGGAGCTGAATCCACATTGAAATAAGAGGTTGGTCCATTCCCACCTACGGATTCTCCTCTCAAGCCCTGCAAACCCTGCAGGCTCCAAGGCTTTCTTTGGATTTAATGGGTGTACCTGATGGCAGCTTTTGCTCTGTAGCTACTTAAATGTGTGGATTTCTTTCTCACCTATTTTGGAACTGGAGAGCTGGAAATAATCACACAGGAAGAGTATTATTTGATGAAAGCACATGGTTTGCCGTGGTTAAGTGCTTTCACATTTACATGATAAAGGTCAGCCAGCAGAAAAGATAGTGTGTGATATAAAACAGAAAGACATTTTTAAAATGTGCTCAAGTTTGGACAGTTTGGATATATTTATGTGAGTTTGACATCATTATCCTGCGGGGTCAGGAAAAGTGTAGCAATCGTCAGAATTGAATAAAATGAAGAGTAATTATTTGAGAAAGCATCTGTGTCACCGAGACATAAACAAGCATATTTTCAAAGCTTTCTGTATTAATTTATTTTCATCTGATTTTAATTTTCAGCCAAGGAATGTGGCTTTGTGTGCACATATGCCAGTTTTATTTAATTTTATTTACTGATCATAACACCGATCTTTAAAGCATGTAAGGGCTGTGTTAAACTGAATTAGCATTATCCCATGTCAAAACATTCATACTCACCAATATTGAGCACTTTTAGCATTTGCCTCATGGTTGCATTGCTTTTCTGGCACCTAACATCCTGACCCTGCATGCCTCAGGCTCAGTGCAGAGTCTGGGATGATTTCCCTAACGAAGTGTTTGCATTAAGCGTAGTCAGAAGTTGGGAAGGGTGGGACCAGCTTTTCATGCCAGAGCTTTCTCCCTCACAGCCTCTCTCCTCTTCTTGCAAGAAAAGCTGCAAGTTCATCAAGGCTTGATTCTCATTAACACTTAATAATGCCACTCCCAGACTTTCATGGCACATTCATCAACTTCACAAAATTCAGAAGAATGTCTTTAAAAATGTATGATATTTAAAAAAATACACATCTGAGGATCTCAGTTGAACTCCAGGAGTTTTAAATCTGGCTTTTTTTATGGCTTGTTCTTTTCAGTCTGGTTATGCCTGAGTAGGCTCTACTCTGCAGTTAAGGGGGTTAAATATTTCTTTTTCTTAGTATAGGCTGATATTATTAAACACACACAAAATCACTCGAATCCAGAAACTAGGGCCTGAAAAGAGCCATCAAATAGGATGAGATAGCTGACAAAACTGCAAGAGCTGGGACGAAGGTGCTGCTCAAGTGCATCACAGTAAATCCTGGGGACTCAGTGTCAGAGGAGTGTTGTGAAAACAGTGAACAAAAATACTTGATTTCTGATAGTAGCACCACTGCAGTGACCATGGAAAACAAGGAAAGCAACACATTGTGACTGAGTTACATTACCACGCAGAAAGAGCAGTAAGAAGGACAAGCATTTATAAAAGGCACAAACAAGCTAAACTGTTTTATACAATGTAGTGGTGTTACTTTTTTTTCCACATCACCTTTGGCTTCAGAATCAACTATCAAGCAGAGAAAAGGGCAATTACATCAAGTTGAAGGCTAATTCCCTGGTGCAGGAGACATTTATCTTAGGAGCATTTTTTACTGATGAGGCAGGAAAGGACCCATAAGCCCTATTTTGGATTCAATGCCTTTAGAATAGGGAGGAACATGCTGTGCAGGACTGACCAAGGCAATCTCGGCACTATTTCACTGAGCCGTGTCCACCCATTTACCTCATTCTTAGCTTTAGTGCAAAGCTGGATGAGCAGCAGTTTTTCCATGGGCACGGTCATCTCATGTGAGTTATTTTAATGTGCCACATACGGCACATCAGCCCACCTGTATCACATCCCAGCAGGAGGAAACTAGTTTGTGCTCCCTTCCCCGAGGCTCCACAGCGACGCTGTCCATGCAGACTACTGCACACTGCCTGGCATCACACACACCCCTGCAGCTTTGAGACAGACTCTGCTCCACAAGCACACGGAAAAACGGGTTTGTAACTTTGAGCCGTTTCAGACACTATTGCTTGGACAAAAAGGAAATCCCAAAAGTCCTGTCATCATCCTTTGGGATGAAGATGCCAAAAGTTCTGCCTGTACTCCTCCAGGAAGCACGCAGCATTAGGGTGTGATTCCACAGCCCATAGCAATGGGCAGCAGAATGTATTTGTAGGCTATCCCCTGCTGTGGTTGCTAGGGTGGGTGTGGGAGACAGGAGCTGCACAATCAGGTAGCCATCTGCTGTGGCTGAACATGAGAAGGCTTTAAAAGGCTGCAGGAAATGGCTATTTTCTGAGGAAATTGTACTATCTTTTTTCCTACTGCTTACTAAAGTCACAAGAGGGTGAACAATCTATATGTAAGAGTAGGTGAATTACTGCTGGACTTAACAATAGCATTTTCTTTGGGCAGAAGGCCTCGGGACTCTATAGTAGTTTTATTGCTCTGTTGACCTTACAATCGATTATTTTAATTAATTTCAATTAGGATTAAAACCAGATATTACCGCAGAGAACTGATTTCCTATAGACTTTTGCAGGAGAATCTTAATTGACAGGCTTATTCAAACAACAGCTCCCATTCAACAAATGGGAATTTTCAATTCATTCATTATATATTTCTAGGTCCCTGCAGCTGATACAGATAATATTCAAATATTTGAAAGTCACTTAAAAGGGAAAATAAAATAGTACATCTTTCAGTAATCCACATATATCATAGGTGAGTCTTCCCTCACAGAGCAAAGATTTCACTAACCGGATTAATGGAAAACAGGGAAAGTTCACACTCTTTTGCTTTGCCTGTATTTGCATTCGATAACCTTTTAAGAACGCTTAAGCACCTCATGCTATGGAACAGTTGGGTATGAAACTTAGGGAAGAACAAAATCAGGCTTTTTTTGAGGAGATGTGCTGGAGCTGTGCAGTTACGAGGACCCCGCCACTCACACCCATAGCCCCAGACTGGGATCACTGGTTGTGGCTGCAGTCTGTGGGAGCAGCACCTGAAGCACAGCAGCCTTTATCTGCTGCTGCAGGTGTGTAGAAAAGCAGGGCTTGGTGGTCTTAACGTGGACACCCACGCTTCCTGGCTTCTTCTGAATGCAAGTATTTTGTGCCTCAATTTCCCTTTTCCTCCATGGGGACAGTATTTCACCTCACAAGGATCCTGTAGAAATAACTACAGAGAGCAGGGAGAGCCCCAAGTAATGAGCACGGGGAACAAGCCCAGATGAGTAATCCTGCCTCCAGAGTGCAGCCCGGGCCATGCGCAGTAAATGAGGCCTGGGGACACACATTGAACAAGGAGGTTCAACAGAATAATCAAACAGCTGCTTGTTAAGAGCAACACAAAGCCAGCGAGCCGCCCCACCTCCTCAACAAGATCCTCTACCGAGGTAATGAAGGGCCATATTCTCATGCATGCCTACGAGGGGCAGGATACGGGCTGCAGAGGCCACCTGGTTTCTGACACTTCTCAGCTTTGGAGTGATTTATTATGAAATCTCAAGGTTATCTACGTAGGTGTGTGGATCTGAGGGAGAAGCGCTTGCCTGTTCTGCTGTCACAGCTTTCAACGTGCGATGGATTAAGACTTCACCATAGACGTGGGGAGCTGCAGAGAGAATCACAACTTCCACAGTGATTTAATTCAGAGCCACATCACGGGGAAGGGATTACTCACTGCAAATGAGTTGCCTCCCATGCTGAAAAAGTCATCTCTAAAGCCACCCAGGAGCTCTCTGCCGACAGCTGTGGACCCACGCCTGCCAGCACACATGTGCAAGGTGAGGGTGCCCCAGTGGGACGTGCAGGAGGTGTTGTGGCACAGGAGGCACGAGAGCCCGAACAGTGCCCTTACCTGTTCAGCCAGCAGCGAGGCCAGGCTTGAGTAAGCATCTGCAAACTCCGGGCCGTACTTAATGGAGTCCCGCAATAAGACTACAGCTTCCTCCTTCTTCCCTTGGGACCTGAAGGACAGGGAAGGAGAGGGGGAAAAAAAATTATCATTCCTGTATGAACATGTTTAGGTCACCCACTGATTAGCTACTTGAAAGAGAGGTGAAAGTCCCCAGCTCAACCTTTTCAACAAAGACTGAATGACCCGCTCGTGCCTCCTCTCCACAGTGTGCGTACCCAGCCCTCGGCCCATCACTGTATCCCTGTGATTCTCAGGAGCTGGGAGGACATTGGTTTTAATGAATCATCCATTTGGTCTGCTATCCCAGTGACTGCTCTGCTGAGCACTACGCAATGATGCCAGCGAAGACAAAGCACCCCCAAAACAGTGCATCCCTCAGCCCCACACACTGAAGAGCAAAAAGTGTTTTATTTTGGCTATCAGGCAAGCAGTATAGGCCACACGCTCTGTCTGTTGAGTCATAACCAACACATTTTGTAAACTTCTCCAGTCCTACTGTATATCTCCTCTCAATATATCTCTTTAAGGGAAACACATCAAATCAAATTCTGCCCCAGTCATCCCATCAGGAGTTAAAGACACAGGAAGGATGAGACCACAGAAGTGTCCCCAGGCATGAAGCACTGCACAGGACCCTCCTAGCGATATCCTTGGGAAGTCACTAGGGATCCACTAGGGAAGGGATGCTGTCAGAGTAGCACTGGGTTTGCAGTCAGCTTCTGGAGGTCTGGCCCCATTCATGTCACTAAGGTACTGACTGACCTGGGAACAGGACTTTAGCTTTCACCCACTCTGCTCTCACATCACTAGATTGGAGACGCCAAAACATGTGCATTTCCTTAAATAAACCCCAGAGTCTTTGCATGTTCCTAGACAACAAGTACTGTTATAGATCCACATATGACTGCATTAAATTAGTACTTTGACATTAAAATATTGATTATTTTGATCTGCTTGGGATCTCTAAATAATTCCTTAGCAAGCTGATCATTAGGCTAGAAGATTCTGTTCTTCAGATCCTAAGGATTATGAAGAGAGCTAGCTGAGAAATGACTATGCTGATGAGCTACATTTTTTCCCAGTATTGCTCTGCATTTATTGCTATGGAAAACAAGAACATTTCCTGAACAAAAATCTAAGGATATTTATTTATTTGAGCTACAGTTTCTCTAGTATTACTCCCTATTTGTTTCCTTGGAAAAATGAGAATGTTTCCTCAATGAACATCTAAGGATGTTTAGCCTGACTGGAACAGCGTTTTTCTTGTGTTGAGCATACAAAGAATATGAATAACAGGGCTTACAAAAAGAAACAAAGGGCTCTGGGACACAGAAAATATGTGAACACCTTGCTGCTTTGGCCTTAGATTTCATCTGAGTGACGTGGTCAAGTAACCAGATCTTGTTTATAAGGTGCAAATTTCAGCTGATAATGTATGTGGCTTTGCAGATTTTTTCCCTTTCTAGTTGTGTAACTGGAAGAATATTTTCCCTGTGCATTAAGCTAAGTAAAACCAGTTGTGCTAGCTTTTTCTTCTTCCAGTGGTGTTCCACATAAATTACATGAATGAAGCAAAAACAAATAAAGAACCACTTTTCTCCAACACTAATTAAAGACTGGCTAGCTTGTCAATTTATAAAACTTTTGGATCTCCTGGCTGGAGTTTCATGACACATTTTTATAAATCAAAACCAGATGACCACTTTATAAAGGTATTGATGTTTGGCAAAAAAATGTAGGAAAGGCAAGCTACAGAAATAAAAGGATTAAGTGATCCACTCAGCAGCAGTAAAAGTTCCCATTAACCACAAGCTGAACATGGGGCAGCCCTCTTAATTGCTCTTTTTTTTTCAGAATGTCATTTTCTTTTTTCATTTGATCCAAGACCAATGTTTGTCTCCTGAAAGTAGGGGTAGAGAGGGAAAGATTATGGCATCTTTTTATGTGACAGACTGAATTATGTTAAAAAAAACAGATCCAGTAGTTTCTCAGAGGGCTCAAGCCTGCAAGATACCAAGTGCCCTGGCCAAGCACTTAAATGCATACTTAACTTTTATGTATGCAAGTTGAAAATTAATTACTAGCTGAAGTGCTTTCCTGGATCAAGGCCAATGCTTTGCAGGATCGAGGCCGTTGCTTATATAAATCTCACGTAATTTGGGAGAACTGGAGCACTGGAAGAACAGTCTGATATACCAATTTACTGTAAACTTGGGATCTAGAGCAGGGGAACCGAGGTAATGTATAACTTTGCTATGACAGAGAGAGGAACAAATTCAATTGACATGAGAAGTCTGTGATCACTTAATCCAATTTCTCCCCAAATTATTTTGCCTTACAATGTCTTCTCCTGACTCCCTCTTCTAGTCAATCCTCCAGCTTCCCCTCTACAATTAGCACATCAGAGCTGAGAGCAAGGAACAGCTCTTTCTACCAGGAGCATCTCTTCCGTATTTTTGCAAGTGCCCCACAGCTGGACAAGCACCAGCTTAAACCACCCCATAGAACTCTGGCAATGCACAGGGCTGTGTGTGGTCTCTCAGCACTGAAGAAAATTTAAGTTTGTAACAGAAAGAGTAGCTGAGGAATTAACACTCTACGAGGACTTCTTAACTTTCAAGATTTGGTTTATATTCTGTAGTTAGTCTGACCGCATTAAACTGGAAGCACAGAACCCAACAACAGCACCACAACTGTTCTGAACATCTCATCTTTATTTCACACCATAATTCAAGGGGAGCTTTGAGCATTTAACTCCACCTATCTGAAAGGAAGCCTCTAAACCTGTTTGACTCCCTGGTTTAAAACTAATCCAGGTAATTCAGAATCATAGAATCATTTTGGTCAGAAAAGACCTCTAAGATCATCGTATCCAACCATTAATCCGACTCTACCAAGTCCACTGCCAAATCATGTCCCTAAGCACCTTATCTACATGACTTTCAAACGTGTCCAGGGACGGTGGTTCAACCACCCCCCTGAGCAGCCTGTTCCAATGCCTGGTAACCCTTTCAGTGAAGAAATTTTTCCCAATATCCAAACTAAACCTGCCCTGGTGTTACTTGAGGCCATCTCCTCTTGTCCTATCACTTGTCACACGGGAGAACAGACCAGCACCCACCTCTCTACAACCTCCTTTCTGGTAGTTGTAGAGAGCTATAAGATCTCCCTCAAGCTTCCTTTTCTTCAAACTAAATAGCCCCAGTTCCCTCAGCCACTCCTTGTAAGACTTGTGCTCTAGGCACTTCACCAGCTTCGTTGCTCTTCTTTGGACATGCTCCAGCACTTCAATGTCCTTCTTATAGTGAGGGGCCCCAAACTTGACACAGTACTCGAGGGGTGCTGAGTACAGGGGGACAGTCACTTCTGGCTACACTATTTCTGATACAACCAGGAAGCCACTGGACTTATTGGCCAGCTGGGCATACTGCTGGCTCATATTTAGCTGGTTGTTCATCAGTACCCCCAGGTCCCTTTCTTCTGAGCAACTTTCCAGCTACCTTTCCCCATGCCTGCAGTGTTGCCTGGGGTTGTTGTGGCCCATGTGCACGCCCTGCCACTTGGCCTTGTCTGTAAAGCCTTTCTACACTCAAGCAGATCAACACTTCCAAACAACTTAGTGTCATCTTCAAACTGATTGAGGGGGCACACTTTCTCCATTATTATCCATATAATTGATGTTAAACAGAATTGGCCCCAATACTGAGCCTAGCAGAACACCACTTGTGGCTGGCCAACAACTGGATTTATCTCCATTCACCATCACTCTTTGGTCCCCGCCAAACAGCCAGTGTCTTACCCAGCAGAGCATATGCCCATCTAAGCCATGAGCAGCCATTTTTTTCATGAGAATGCATTCATTTAGATGTACTCCTTTGCCATTCATCTATACTATGTGGATGACACCAGAGAGGGGGAGGAGGCAATGCACTGAAAGGCAGGGCTGCTTTTCAGAGAGACCAGGTCAGCACATTCACATGCATACATACCCAGAAGCCTGTAGGGAAGGTAGACAGTATTCCTTCCTCTGAATAGATGAGTTGGACTAAATCTTGGCAGCAAACGCACAGGACACATTGTGTGTTACTCTATATTCAGAAGAGAATCAGTCCTTTTGAATAAACCCAAGATTTCAATGGACATTGTTTCTAAGCATTTCATTTTCCCTTTGAAAATGAAGCCAGAACATTCTTAAAGCACATAAGAGCTCTGAGGATTTTCTTCATAAGAAATAGCATACTGAATACTGGAGTGCTTTAGGTATGGATAGACACAGTACTGCAAAGAAGCTCCCCCTTTTTTGCAACAAAAAGCTGAGGTAAGTGTTTCCTTCTAATGATATTTATCTGTTTTTCAAGCTGTATCTCAATGAAATGAAATGTATACAGAGAAGTTAAATGTTTATGTAACAGGAAATTTCAAAACAGAAGACAAGGAAGCAGTATCAGGCTGCTCTGTGCCACTCATCACAGACCATGAAAGCAGAGAAAGGTATTTCTCATCTCTAGGTAGGCCACCTTCTGGGTCTATTTTAACTAAGAAATCCGTTGGCATTGTTTAATTATCTACTCTCCAATATTTATATTGGGCAAGAAAATGATGACATTCAACTTTATTTTAGGATATGTAAACAAAACCAAAGGCTTATTCAGCCATTACTCTGCAACGCTTCCCGAGAACATTCATCTTTTGGCATATCTCTGTCTTCATTACGTGCAAACAGAAAATAGAAACATCCTTTTTCATCTAGGACTGCTGAAAAAAACCAAAAACAAAAACAACAAAACCAAAAAACCTCTAAAATTCCACCTTGTGGTCCTCAAAACAAAGTTTTACTCAAGCTTAAATCATAAGCAACAGATGCTTAAACAGAGATCTTATTTACAGGGAATAACGAGAGGCAGATTCCTACATGGGAATAGTAAACCCGCCCTTCTAAAATCCTGGAGTTCCCCTTTCTCAGCACTCCGGGGAGGTGAAAACCAATATCTGCCATCAGATTTCCACGCTACAAGAAGGGTGGGCACAAGGAACTCAAAATAATTCAACTAGGAATTCCCCATGCCAGGTGGATTTGTTACATCTCGCAGTACAAGTAGTATAGTTACTGGACATGCCTTAAGTGTTTCAGATCCAGCTCTTCCTGATCTGCACCATGCACTGAAGCCTCTTCAAAGAGGACAGAAAATGATTTTATGGCTCAACCCTTTCTCCTCTCTTTGCCATATGTTAAAAATTGACACAATCTTAATAATGTCTCATAGCACAGCCAGAAAGTAGTATCTGCCTGTAATATTTTGTAGATTTTCATTTATTACCTAGATTATACTAGCATTTGGTGTCTGCGGAATATTGGTTGCCCTATATACATATGTATGAATGGGTAATTTGGAGACCCAGATAGAAAACATAAATAAAGCCAAAGTTGTAGGAAGGGGAAAGCCTGAAATCTCTGCCTCATTCCTGTCTGGCCATCTTACAAGTCACTTCAGGATCCAGCACAGCTGTTGATCTCTGCTAAGTTGGTGGATGATCCAGAAAAGGAGCTGGCAAAGGGGTCTGGGCTAGCATTTTAGGGGAGGCATTCATATAGGATCTGTCCATGCAGTGTTTGGTTTACATACGTGCCAAGCCTTCCACCCACCTCTCTACCTATTTTTTTAGCAGGTGTTTTAAAGCTGAATAAGGAGATGAGAACACACAGTTTCCATTATAATTAATACGATTGGTATGTCCAGATATACTAGGTTCTTTTGGAACCCTCCACTGAAGTCTACAAAATAGAAGAAAATGGGTGAGGGACAAGGGCAGGTGGACCTCAAAGACTTGACTTTAAAAAGTTGAGCACGAGAATTACACTTCTTTAAAATACTGCAACATACGGCATTACAGAAGGATGCTGAGCACATATAGTCCAACAGGGCACACAATATCTTAACTATTCATTAGGAAAAACATGACATATAGCACACAAACAGCAGTTCTCAGAGATGTCTCTCTTTCCTACTTGTCTCCTTTGTGCTTTGCCAGAGTAGCAAATCCAGTTTCTACTCATCTGCTGGGTCATAAGAGCCCATCAACAGGACAGATTTAGGTGTTATTGAAATGGGATGTCCTGATGCTGTTTCTGGTTTACATCTTTTTGCCTTTGTATCTCATACTAAATCAAATATAAAATCACTGAGAACAATAACCAAGGGAAATATGGTAGATTAAATGGACAAAATGTATTTTTAAACAGCATTGCTGCCTAAGCTTAATTTCAATCAACCAGATTTGATAAATAATATAAAGATCTTCTATTTCTCCTGTAATAAGACTGCCTTTATAATTTTCTCTTCCTGTCAGTATATCCATTAAAGCATTTACCTACCTTCTGTTTAAGAATTACTCAGCTGCCATCAGGTTTACTTGCAATACTATTCTGTTAACTTCTCTACTACTCAATAGAACAAGCAGAAATTCAGCAGTACACTTACTATCTGTCACACAAACTCACACTGAATGTAGCATTTCAGAAATAGAGAGATCAAGTATATTCCGATGAGACAGTGCCACTTAAAACCAGCCCAACACTAAGGCCCGATCTGCACTAAAAGATTTACCAGAGACCTAATACCAGCTTGTATAAGCAAAAATGTACTTTTGCTGCTGTAGCTTATGCAGTTCTGTCAGCAAATAACATACCATCTCATCAAAAACAAGGCTTTTTTTTTTCTGGTGCAAAATAGTGATGCAGGAATAGAGATGTCTGGGGGTGTTTAGTTGCATCCCTAGCAGATCTTATCATACTGGCAAAGCTTCTTGTGTAGATTTAAGTTCAGACTTCAGTTATAGTTAGTCAAATTAATTTGCATGATTATGATTGTCTGCTATTCTGTTTGCTAAAGGGTGACACTCTAAATAACGACAAATGAAATTAAGGGCTGATTAACTTGTTTACTTGCTCAGCAGAGTAATTGTATAGAGATGTAAGTCAGCCTTTGTCTAGAATCCAGACCCACCCCCTCTGCAATGGGGTGAACCTTCTGCTACTCTGAGCACTAACAGCTAGGTGCTTAGGCCTACACTATGCAATGACATTCCAAACAGCAAACAAGGAGAAATGGAAACTTCCAGAGAGGGATTTGTTGGATCTGTGTTATTTATTAGAGCTGCATCAGATGCCTGTCTTTGAACAACATGACTTTCTCCACTGGGAAGTCATGCAGCTCTCCATTGAGATGGGAATCTCAGGTGACTTGCTGGATTTAGGCAACTCATTTTTGATGCCTGGCTTAGAATAAGTTAATTCCCTCCAGCTGAAATACAATCGTAAACAGCATCTGAAGTGACATCACAGACAGTATAAGGATATCCCAACTAAAAAGTCCCAACCTTTGTGCTAGCACTCTCAGTTGGCAATAAGAAACAATGCCATTCCTTCACCAGCTGGCAGAAAAAAACTACTTTGGTGATTTGTGTAGAGAGAATGTGAATTGCCTTCATGCCAGTTGTGTGTTCAACTTACTTGAGCAGGTTGCCGAGATTGAAGAGAGCTCGATTGTGCTGAGGGTTTAACTGCAGGGCCCGTCTGTAGTAGTCCTTTGCCTCCACCACATCTTTGGTCAACGTCCCCAAGTTGTTGAGAGCACTTGCATGACGAGGGTACAGTCTAGAAAAAAATGAAATATCAAGTTGCAGACACTTATTATTTGATAAATAAAGCTGAGGTCACTAATGCTGCCACCACTGTTGTTAGGCACTTGGCAGAGCAAAGGTCATCTAGGAATCACTGGGATCCCGAAGAACCTTTTCAACTCCCAAAGAGGCTGCACATTAGATCCTCTCTTACAGTTCCTGTACTAGTCCAGGGCAAAAGGGAAGACTGAAGAGGTTTGAAAGTCTGTTTTACCTTCCAAGCAAAAGTGACTAAAGCAACTTGAATGTCTTTATTCAGAAGGTTTTTAAAACAAGCAAGAAGTGCTCTGTCAAAAATATGTTTCCAATGGAAATATGTTTTGACATACACAGAAACCAACACAACACTCTTTAAATGTATTTTATTTGTTTGTTTTTTAATCAGTTTTCCACGATAAAAGTGATAATAAAGTGCAAAGGGAAACTTGAAATCAGCTGTTGAACAACGTTTGCAGGACCAAGCAAAATGGTAAGAAAAATCTGGAGAAGACTGTTTAACAGTGTGGATTCCCTAAGCTTCTAGTTGTATTTTTTTTTATCACTTCATTCTGTTCTCCTTTATCTGATCTGTTGAACTTTATGTCTATCTGTTTCAGTTATAACACTACACACTGGGCCCAGCACATTGCTGTCAAAATTCTCCACAAATTAAGGACATCATGGTCCATTCAGCTCATTAAATTCTCAAAGCTCTGCTCCTACATGAATATTTTGGTTTGTAGGTCTTTCACCAGAGAACTCCGAAGGTGAAAGGGATCCAGGGCAAGATTTAGCATCCAGAACCCTTTGCGTCACAGACGGGTGAAAACCAAGGTTCATGACAACAAAGAAATAAATCTATGATGGTAACCCACAGAGGTCCCAGGCAAACTGGGAGACCAGTTGTGTGAGCATGTCTGACACTCTGGTATGAAAAAGGGCACTGGTGCTTTCCCATTGGGCTCCTCCAGCTGATCACTTCATTCGTGATAGGGAGGAAGCAGCTTAACATGGTTAAGGCTTCAGTTTGAGAAAAATCCCACTGCCACTGCAGATCTTCTGTTTCAGATGGGGACAAATATCTGACATTTCTTTGCCTTAGGTCCCTGTTCATGGGAAAGTGATGTGGAGAATGACATTAAAGCCAGCTGGCTATGAAAGCCCAAGGTACAGCATGAGGAGGGTCATTTAAAGGAAAAAGGGATTAAGACTCCATAATACAGTCTGACTCTAAAGCTTGCAACTGTTTTTAATCTGTGGCTTTCCATGGTGGTTTTTTGTTTTTTTTTTTTCCTGAAGTTGTTCATTACGTCAGTTCAGCTCTGGGATTTTCTGTGCTTAAGTACCATGAATAATTTAGCATTTTATACACTGCTGGAACATTTGTATCAGTCACATTTTTGTTCCACAGCACATAAGTGATTTTGGCAAGGTCTTACTAGGGGGTGAAGCTGGAATGCACGAAGGAATTCCAGGCAAGATGGACATGAACTGGTAACAAACCCAGAATGCTTCCTACAACTAAGAGAAGAGCCCCAAAGACCTTTTTCTGTCCAAGACCAAGCCCAGCAGACAAGGATTGCAAAGCCATACAGTTGAGGAGAGATTGCTGAAGTATGTTCAGTACAGAAGCTGTGTATGTTTTTTAAAGCTTAGCTTATAATAATTACAAAAGATAAATATAGTAACCACCACTCACAACTAACAACTGCAGACTCTGTCAACATTCCTCCTGTACAGAGAAGCATCCCATCTCCCAGAGGTAACCACTTCTGTCTCCATTCACCCACACTACCTACCTTCCTCGCTCAAGTGATTTTTGAAGTTCCCTAATAGGTCTTGTCAAAGAGGAGCAAAGAGTAGGAAATTCATGCTGAGACAGCAGTTGGCATAGAAATAGTATCACTTTCCATCACTGAAGCTACTCAGTGAGCCTGACGTGTTTCCAGATGTGAGAGATTCCCTGCACTTGGAGAAGCATCAGCAGAAGACCAGATAGTAATGAGAGTCCAGTGCTGAGTCTTGATCTTGGCCCTAAAATCCACTGGTCATTAAGACCAAGCCTCCCCAGCTGAAAGAGGCTGAGAGAAATGCTTTCCACAGCCACAGCAGGGGAACAGTGGGAAGGACCAAGCTTGCTTGCTCTTCAGCACTTAGGATGCAGCTCTGTGTGATACCTAGATCAGGATCTTGAGCAAAGAACATTCTATCTACCTTATGGTAAATGACTGAGGGTTCAGCCTTGTTTCCAATTTCTTCCACGGGATTTTCACATTGGTTTGGAACAAAAAAAGGTCTGGGAGTTATATTTTTGAGGCTTTTTTTTCCCAGTTGGCTATGATAAATGCTGTGCACTACTTCTGTCAGTACTCACACATAAAAACAGTTCTGATATCTGACATGAAGCTGCTTGAGTTATGAGTGGGCAAAAGTATTTCAGACAATCCCTGGGAAAGTCAGAAAGAGATTAACATTTTACAGCCCTATACCTGACAGTTTTGCTCTCAAACTTTCAGAAATTAATTCTGTTCTTGGCCTCTAGTGCTCCTATGACATTTTAGGCACGGGAGATTTGCTTGCACCGGTTTGGAGAGGAATGAAAACTCAAGATTAAATAAGAGAACTGATTTCACCTTTAAATTGCACAGTTCTGACCAGCAGCTCCATAAAGACACTTCTGAGCTCAGTGCTAAAACCCCTGAACAGCAGATTCCAGGATACAAGCACGTCTTCCATGTATCCTGGGCTCTATTTCTTGTGTTTTACATTTATTCATTACATTTCATTGCCCTTTCCAAGAAACAGAAGCAAAAACTCAGAAACTAGATAGCACAACTTGTCAGCTTAAACCTGCTTAGCATCTAGCCTGAAGAACTTCCAACATTTGCAGTTTTACAGATCTGAAAAGAAATCTGAGCAGAGTAAGATAGGGCAGTGGTGTTGGGGTTTGCCATTAGGGTTCAGTTCTTTACAGTTTTATTTGGAATATTACTTTATTACAATGCTAAAGCAAGACGCCACTCAACTGGGTTCATCAGAGAGCATAACTAAGCCCTAAGAGAGCACCACCTCCAGGAAAGTACTCAGAGCCAGAGCACTTGACCATCCATGCTGTTATACTGTTAATGCAAGCCCTAACAGTTCCACATCACCTTCAGAGAGTTCCCTGAGTGGTTCAGGGCTAAGCCCAGACCAGGATTTGGTCCCAAAAGCCAGCTTGGGCTCAGCTGCTGTGCCTCAGAGGATGCTGACTCTTACTGAACACTTGCAGGTCAATTTATGCCAGTCAGCCTCAGGGCTGGAGAATGGGGCCCAGGCCCTTTTTTATTTATTAATATGGATGATGACTAAAGGACTAATGGCCTTATTCAAACTACTCTCTGTTCATGCACACCCAATAGTGCTAACAACAGCTTCCTGGGGACAAAACCAGAGTAGAACAAAGCCTTGTGGCTGGATTTACAGAGCATCATAACACTTGACCATAGCTAACTAATTAAAGCAACATCTATTGAAGAAATCTCAAAATATTTCTGCAAAACTTGCAGATACACCATTTGCAAACTGTTTTGCTTTTTGTGTGATCACATTTTTTAAATGTGATCTATTATTTTAATGAATGGTCACACATATAATTTTTTTTCCATTTTTATGTTATTGGGAGGTTTGTCCTGTTATTCAAGACTTTTGTAATTGGCTGCAATGATTCCCAATGTATACCTTGCTTATTTTGACCATAAGCTCTCTGGTGCAAAGATTGTCTCTTCCCCACACGTACTTATTTCTTGGAAGGGTCAGAAACACATCACCAGGACAAGAAGGTCTCCAATTAACCTGAAGTGTCTTCACACCACAGTAATGACAGTATCCAGAACCCAGACCTTGTTTTACAAATAGCCAGAACACTCTGAGGTGCAAAGAATCATTTGTTGGAACATAGATACCTTGTTTATCAACTTCTCATGAAAAAAAAAAAAAAAACAAAGCTTCTATCTGGACACACACAGAGCTGTATTTTTCTCGCCACCTCCACTGATAATGGTAACAGTCTGCAGGCAATATCCTTCTTGCTATGCATCTGATTAGGTAGAAATTCCTCTAGGCTTCATCTAATCAAATGCAAGTGCTGCATTATTTATGAAAGAAAGCTGAATTTCATTAAACTTAGTCTACAAGAAGCAGTTTATGTAAAAAAAATCAGTTTCTCTTTTCTTCAAGAAATCAGAAGAGTTTTCCTTAAAAACCTACATTCACAGGTAATTATAATAGAAGTCTTGAAACAGCAAAATTACTTTAAAAAAAAAAAAGCTAAACCAGTCCATAAAAATATATTTTAAACAGACTGGAATTTCATTTCTAAAGAGAAGACAAGTGGGATATTTCCTTGTTGCAGAATGAATAATTCAAATGATTCCTCCAGTGCTGTATCTGCAATTGTCAGAATAAATTTAAGCATCTTTCCCTTTAACTATTACAGGTATACACTGCACAAGAACTCCTGTTAGTAATTATCCCCACTTATTTTAGGCTAGCAAAATTCTCTCTAACACCACTGAACAAAAGCCTTATTGACTTGCACAGTCCGGTTTCACAAAAAGATACCAGGTATAAAACATACAGTCATCAAAATGCTGATGGCCATTGATTTTGCTGTTTAATGCTGCTATTACCTGAAACATTAGTTTTAAAAAGAAAAAATTTGATGGGTTTTATTTGGCAACATATCTGAACTACAAGATAATTCCAGAAAAAAAGAGAAAGGGAGGGAATTTGTTGTCATGACTACAAACTATAATCCACCAAGAATTTTAATTCTTTTAATTCAGTTTGAGAGAGACCACTTAAACAACTGGCAATCTCTGCTTGCAGTCCTGCCTTTAAACAGCCCTTAGTCTGGTGCCAGAATTATTCAGGGGGCAAAAGGCACTAGTGTGTCAACTCCCCACTTGCTCTAAAGAGCGTTCATTCTGTGAGTTTTGCACAGCCATCACTGCA